ACACACACACACACACACACACACACTCTGTATTGACAAACCAGTGAGGACATTCCAATTCTGTACATGGAACTTATTTACATGTATTATATTCTATATTATCTATTTTCTCATGATCCTTTATTATCACAGTTTCTAAAGCACTTTGTAACATTGTTAAGAAAGTTGCAATATAAATAAAGTTTGTCATTATTACTCACATTTAGGTTTAGAGCCAATAAGAGTAACACCATACAATACACTTTTTCAACTTCATAAAGTGGTGTCTCATATATTTCTTCTTTTTGTTGATATATTCGGACAGGAAATCCTCAACTTGAGTCCAACTCCACACACACACACACACACACACACACACACACACACACACACACAGACACACCTGTTTATCAAGTGTGAGATGCAGCAGCATAATCTTGATGAGATTAATCTGGGAGGACTAAACAGGATTAATCCCATGATCAACTGGCTGTTGATCTGGTTTCAGTGGATTGATTTGATTGTTATGTTTAAACTTGTGTCTCTCTAATCACACACGAGACAGACAGGAGGACTTTGATTTATGTAGCTTCTAATAACAGGGTGTGTCCCTATTGTTGTTTTGTTGGAATTCCCAGGCTGTTATTAGACTTCATACATACTTCCTTTCCCTTGTAAACAACAAGTTCAGCAAGTTGCCCATACAGGTGATTCCCTGCAGTGTGACCGTAAGAATAACATGTGTTTTATATGCAGAAGGTAATAAAAGGAAATAAAACCTGACTGGCCCCAATAAATGACAATAATCACACCTCTGTGATTTATTTAATGATCTGGGTGAAAATACAGCCTATCATCTAATCATCCTTCCATGATCGATGGATGAGTTCAGTTTGTGTGTCACTCACCTTGTACGTGCTTTCAGTGAGCTTGCTCACACCGTCTGGAGCCCGAGACATGTTGGCAGCTTGTTTCCCCGAGCCCAGAAATAAAACCAAAATCAAAACAGCTGTAAAAAAAAAAAAAAGAAGGAACAATACAGGTGTACAGCTTCGTAGTCCAGGTGTTCACTTCAGTGCGAATAGTAAATCCCAGAGGTGGACCTGCTCCCTGTCTGCACCCTCACCCTCACTGAGCGCGTGAGGACAGAGAGACGCTCAGCAGCCGCGGGGGGAGGACGTCCCACTGACAGGAACAGCGAGAGAGAGAGAGAGAGAGAGAGAGAGAGGGAGAGAGGGAGAGAGGGAGAGGGAGCTCCTCGTGCAGAGGGAGGAGGAGGGGAGGGTATGTCTGTGACGTCAGAGGAGGCGTTGCACTTAAAGTTTTGGTGCTTATGAGGGACACACGTGCTTTTTCTTTCTTTTTACTTCATATTTTTTGTTATTATTGTTGTTGTTATTAATAATTTCTATTATTATTAGTCAGTTGGTGGGTTATTCAGTTAGATAGTTAAGCTTGATTTCCAAAAACTAAAAAGGCCTAAGTGACAAAGTACCTGCACAAAATACAATCAACACACTTTACTACCTTGGATTCATTAATTCATTAAAACACAGACATGCAGTGTTCCAGACAAGATGAATGTGCCTTGTGTAAATTGTATGTCAAGGCCATTATGATCACATGTTTTCAGTGAGTTAATCAAAACATAAAACTATGCAGAACATTACAAATATATCAATGATGATAATGATGATTATTATTATAAAACATATGATTATAGTTATAATAGTTTTAGTAATAACGATGTGTTTTGCACTGTATTTTGTAAATGGAAACTATGAATAGTTTAGTGATGTAAGAAAAGCTCTTTATTTAGTAGATAGAGAAAGAGTAGAATACTGTGAGCCATTATTACCAAAGTAGCTATAATCCAAAGTAGACCTAGTTTTAGTGCAGTAAAATATAACATGTGTGAGTATTAAATAGGTCAAATATGACATTGCATTAACTTCAAAAAATAAGATATATAAATCAAATAAAAATAAATAGATTTGCCTATGTACATTCAATTATAGACTTTTAATTCAACTGACTGATGGATTTTCACTCAGTCATCATCACACATTGTACAATTAGAAAAGATGGAAGCTTAAACCTTTACAGGTAAATATAAATCTCTGAAGAGATTCGATTTTTGTATCGTATGTATCATTATTATCATATTTGTCTGCTTCATTTGACAACGTTAACCTTGTATTGGAGCCTGGTAATTTATAATTTAAAAATGTAGAAATAGTCACTTTAAGCTTCATGGCCTTGTGGTTGTGTGATTATTGGGTGTTTAGCGCCACCATGTGGATATGTCCTGTTTCAGAATAAATCATTTCATTTAATTCTCTTGGAGAAATTCAGGATATCCCTAAATGTCAATGAAAGCATAATTACATTAGCAAGTAAAAAAACTAAAACATACATTTAGTATGTAGTAAATTAAAACAAAAACGCATTTTAAAAGAAGTATGTTAAAAGACTATAAAATTGAATTATTATAAAATTAATACAGTTAAGGGTTAGCATACAAAAAACAAGAAGAGAGAAACAAGAACACATTTAAAAAAAAGTGTAAATAGATAGAAGTTGAGGCAGGGAAGTGATGAAGAATACAAACCATTTATCATTGAAGATTTTTGATTGGAGCCTGAGTCACCTGATTTAGACCCGGGTGACCTTAAGACAGTCATTTGAGCAGCTTTGATAAGCCAGTTTGATCATTTCCCCTCAGGCTGCAGGGAAACAAACATGATCGAACTCACTGAAGGCCTCAGCCTGCGTATAGGGATGCAATGTTGAGGGGGGGGGGGTTAAGATTCCACCACTGTCCATGTGAAATGACGCTTTAGTTCTTGTTTCTGTTCCAGAGAAACATGCAAATAAAACCTGCAACATTGAAGACAATGTCCCACATCTCTGAGAAGAATGTGACCCAGTACAGAAGCCTCCTGTTCAAAAGCTGGTTGTGTCTCCGCAGCCACATGATTGCAACGCATGGTGACAATTTCAAGCCTATAAAGCCCCCACCCAACCCCCCAACCCCCCCACCGGCAGCAGCCCACACACCCCATGTACAAGCACTCTTCTTTTACTTTATTCCTCCTGGAGGTCCCTGTAGTGATCTTCCACTACAGCCACAGCAAACATGAAAAGGTAAATCTGCTTCATGTAAGACTTTTTTCCCTTTTCTAAATTTTCATCTTTAAACTTTTGGACATGTGCCTGCAGAACAAATGCCTTCTGGATCTTGATGCTTCTTCTCCTGGTGCTCCTGGGTGTGGCAGAGACTACAGACCCTTTGTCAGATTTGGGTAGGTCATCCAGGTTTTCTTTTAGACTTTTCTTACTAGCATAGTAACTTGCTCATCGTGTGTATCTTCTCCTTTACTCAGAAAATACTGCTGGGAAGCTGGTTTTCTATCAGACAGAGGGAAATGCCACCTATGTGAGAGACATGGGAGATCTGGCATCAGATGTTCCCACAGAGACCATGTTTGAACTCTTTGATCCACAGAGGAATTTCAGCACATCTGAATTCACCTATACGTGGGATTTAGGCAACGGGTACAAGGATTTTTTAGCTCTTTTCATTATTTAACACTTTCACAAAAAGTTTTGGGATGGTTTTTGTTGTTTTTATTTCCATTTGTTTTGATCTGTGATGCAGAGAAGTGATCCAGGGGACAGAGCCGGTTGTCCGTTACCATTACCCAGAATCAGGGAACTACACACTGCGGCTAAAAGTGGTCAATATGACCAAATACGCTCCCGCGATCACTGGGGTCTACTCCACAGAAGTTCAAGTGCTCGGTTTGTATTTCTTGTAAATATATCAGCAACCTTTTTTGATTAGTTGAGGGGAAAAGAGCTCATGTAATGTGCATTCAAATTTCTCACAACTGTATTTCCTTGAATGATCAGATGATGAAAAAAAGATTTGCATCGTGAAATGATGCTATGTAACTCTCAGTACTAAATGAAATCAAAGAATACAATTAACTACAAGTACATTTGTATTATTCCAAAGAAAAGGTTTGTGGTGAAATAATTTATAACGGAAATGAATTTGTAGATGCCATCAAAAACATCGAGCTGAAGAGCCCTTCAGATTACGAGATGTCTCAGGACTCCAGTTTGGCTGTTCATGTCGATGGAAGGTAAGCTGCATTTAGTTTGTTCAACTTTATCCATTTGTCTTTTGGTCTGTTTGTTTATTTGTTTGTTTGTTTGTAAGGCCAGGCAGTTTCATTTATAAAGCATATTTCACACATAGGGGTTTAGATTCAAGGTGCTGTCCAAGGAGATTAAAAACAACACAGACACAATATTAAAAGAAAACAATTTAAAATCACAATGCACAGTTTCAGATGATTTTTAAAGGAAAGCAAAGGAGATTAAAAAGAGTCAAATGAAAGAGCTAACAGAAATAACAGATATATCTGTTTAAAAATGTTTGATTAGTTGAAAGAGTAAAATAATAAAGACCTCAACTGAATGCTATTCCAGTGTTCTAGTAATTAAGGTTAATCATGTGTGTGTGTGTGTGTGTCTTCAGTCCTCCGATGTGGGTGTGCTGGCGCTTCCTGCCCTACTGTGTGCCGGACCTGGGGGGCTGCACACTGACCATGCTGTATGAAAACACCCTGAGGCTGAACCACACCTTCACCTCGGCCGGCGTCCACTGCCTGGATATTAGTGTCCGCAATGAAATCAGCAAACTGCAGACCTCCTTCAGTCTCTATGTCAAGAGAAACAGTGAGTGAACATGTACAGTACACACACACACACACACACAATACACCACATTACATTAATTCGCATTGATTTCCTGGAGACTTACTCTAATGTAGTTATTACATTTATATGTTTTATGTGGACTTGGTTATTGTCCCCATAAGGAAGACAAATCCCAATATTATGACAGTATTACAATGTCAACAGATTTAGGTCCCCACAACATGAGTAATATGTCATATTTGGACCACACACACAAGCTGTGTCCCATTCAAACAGTCACACACTAAAAGTCACAAGTCATATGTCTTGTTTATTGCTAATTATTTATCAGTTTTGGTCACAAACCATCTGTTTAATAATGTCCTGTTTCACCGCTCATCCGAAGCTTCCACAGAGTGCAGGCTCCTAAGCGTTCTACCAATATCACCTTCCTTTGTTTGTTTCACAACCACTAACGCCTTGATCCAAATCACTGTGACGACTCTTACGTGATTAACATCTCTGCCCCACATTGTGACGTCATGCTGTGAACGACCCTGAGAGATAGATTGATAGATGATCTAATTATCTGCTTGTGTGGAGATTTGTCTTTGGAGACAAAGCAGAGCACATGGTGTGATAAAATGAGTTCAAAGATAAAAGTTCAGACATACATACGTGATTTCATACTGTATGTGGGATTCCACTCCCAACATAGCTAATGTTAAATAAAGACAATACAGTGACCCCAACAGGTTTTAACTTTCTAATCTACATAATAAAATGAAGTATGAAAGCAATAAACCCAGAGAGCCTGAAGTATCCATTTTGTAATTGTTTGTTTGTTTAATTGTTGTAAACTGTTTAATGTGACAGGATATAAGGTTTTTAAGGTAGATTACTGCTCTCGATGTGACACATGCCTCGTGGTGTGTGTGTTAACTTTACATGGAAAAGGTACAAGCTACACTTGAAGATGTTCCCAGGGTGGATTAACTGCAGAGTCTCAGGAATGTAAAGTTGACATGCAAGATAATTTGTTTTAAACACTTAATCACCGAAAAGAATGCAAAAGCTTTTAAAGCGCATAATGTTTTCCTAAACAGAGACACTAGCGCCGGAGCATTCCTGTGTCTCGCTGTGGTTATAACTCATGTTCATTTCTGACACTAGCAGTGCAAAAATATCAGACATTTTAGGAAGTAGCACTTTCCCTTTCATTATTTTCTCTTAACCTAATAACTATTAAGTAATTAAATGTGTGTGCTGTCTACAGAGGTGATTTATTATGTAATTATCCAGTATATTATTATTAAAGTCTGTAGTTTAATCTGTTTCACATGGTAAATAAATTACATTGTCTACTTTAGATATAACCCTAAGATCAACATACCGGCACCAAATATATACAAGAAAGAACTTCGGAAATTAAATAAGATGTCAGATGAAGTTTATCCCACATATGAATACGTTTCCATGGACACCAATAATCTAACTGTTGACCTTATTCTGAATAAGACGTTGTTTAATTATGATGTTTACATGAGTTGCTAATAGAATTTTCCATTCCATTCCATGACAGAGCATAGATATGTGAGATAGGGAATGTTGACGTATTATACCAGAGGCTTAAAATGATCCAGTCATATCTAAGAAAACAATCACAATATATACAATTAATAAAATTGTTTTTTAATAAACAATACTTTCACAGAAATCTTTTTGACCAAGTATTTGATACGGCCACGCATCTGGCCACATGAGTACAAAATTAGGAACATGTTAGAACAACACTAGGATGTGACTAAGGTCAGAAATCTCCACATCTTAATTCAATGTTGGCTTATTCAGGTTGCGGTAATCAGAAAATGCCTTTTACGTGGCTGTGATTTATTCGGACTATTGTTCCAATCATCAGAATATTGGTGACCATGGAATCAAAGTCAATGATTCCATAGATCAGAAAGGTGCAGCAACATAAACAAAAGAGAAGGAATATCACTGAAAAAGGATAGTTTTTTTGTGTTTTTTTAAAAAATATTGCTAATCTATCTTGTTCTCATCCAATTCAACCATATCAAACTGATTTCTTAAATCTTTCTATTCCTAGAAGAATGGATGCCATTTTGAATCCGAATGAACCAAAAATAAATGACTCTTTGTCCCGATTTACCAGTTTCATCCAGCGCGTACATGCAGCTGATTATTTTTTCATGTTTTACAATCAAAAAGATTCTTGTAACTGAGATGAGCTGGGCTGTGTCATGAGGTGTTTCAGATAAGAACCTACCATCTGGCATTTAGCTGTGTTAGTTCCACAGACAGAGGAGACAGTGAGGTCAGCACATGTCTGCTGCGTCCAATCGATTGGCTGCTGTGATGATCGAAATCAAATTCAGATTAACCAGCTTTTGATGTCACATTCAAATGGAAAATCTTAACTTTACTTCTCATATTTTTGATTGCTCTACTCTAAATCTGAATATTTGTAACTCCTGTTAATTCAGTTCCTTCAGAAAATGCTCTGTAAATACAATTTGATTGATGGATTGATGGAGACATTTATATTATAGATATTTACAATGATTTCAAATAAAAGACCCTCAGATTTATTATTTTCACATGAACAACACTATTAAATATTGTCATCGATTAGAACTACACTCACATAACATGTTTTTTTTCCTGTGTCGCCCGCAGACAACCCTCACCTCTTCTTCATGCTGTCATGTGCTGCTGTTCTCATCGCCACTTTCTCCTTCATTGCAGTCATCGCCTGCCGCAAGAGAACACAGGTACATTATTAACTTAATATGCTGCTAAATCTTAGAATGGATCACATATAAATAACTTTTCATGACCCTGGGTTTAATGGGGATGACAGGATATAGTGTCAAGTTGGTTTCCTCTGGGTCATAACAGTAAGTAATGGTGAAATGAAGTTCTTTATCACAGTACAATAATATTTAAGATAAATTGATTTGTATGGATTTTCGCTTGTTTGTAAATATCCTTGATTAAAGCAATGGTTGCATGCTCTAAAATGACCACAAGGAGGCGATCTGCGTCTAGAAAATAAATTACACCTGAGCAGAAATTTGAGTGAGAAGAAGAAGCTCCCAGTGCTGCAGACATGTGACTGATCTTTATTGTTTGTGCATTTCCAACAGGCATTTCACTGATTAACCTTTTGTAATTTCACAGATTCCTGCGTCCAGTCACGCTGTATACCTGAAGAATCCAGAGTCAGACGACCGGAGCGCGATTCTCTTTAAATTCTCCAAGATGGAGAGAGGAGAGAAAGAGCCGCTGCTCCTGCAGTATGGGACTCAACGCTTCTCCTAACCACCACAGATCCAGAGGCTGCTACATGCACATATATATACATTTGGTAGCAGGAAATGCACAACTATGTCTTTATAGAAGCAATAATCACTTTCCTCTTGACACATATCAACATGTTATAGATTTATACCTCTGTGGATCAGTACACAACACATTGTCTAATCTGTGTTTCAGCAAGACAAATACTGTCTGTGTTGTCCTTATAAGATATGTTGATCAATTAATGAGGCACTGAGCTTGAAGGTTGACATTCACTAGAACTCATAATAATTTAATAGCTCAACTATAGGTTGTTGTGGAAAATCTGCTGATCAATGGTCATTGTCAGTGAAGAAAGCGTTCAGGAGCCCTTTGACGTCTTATGCTGAAATATTTATTGAAGCTTGGCCAAGGAGAAAATCAGAATTCATCCATACAACATCTGTGCATGATGCTATCTCATATTCTGAAGTCTGCTTTCCTCTAGTCCCACTTTAAACCCGAACAGATCCTTTAATATATGGGTGTGCTCGTTCCTCAACAATCAAATGTATTTTCTAGTTATGGAGACAGTAGTGCTGCTTACGCAGTCTCATATCTGTGATGTATAGGGAGTGAAGGCTTTGACCTTCGCCAAGCTCTCGCACTTCCCAAAAACAACAGACATGGTCATGTTTAAACAATGAGTGTTAATTTAAGCATCCTGTCAATGCACTAGACTATTCTCTTTTATCATGTTTCCTTTCATATAGATGTATACATTTGTCTTTGCTTTGCTTTCAAATGAAGAATAAAACATATTTCCTTTGTAGCAACGCTCAGTTTTGATCTTTGACAAGTGGAAACCAGAGGCTGCACATTTGAAGAGGGCCAACTCATCAGTGTAACAAATGTGCAGAACACACTCACACACACTAGCCGCAGCTATCACTGCTACAAAGACGAGTTTTTTTGGGTGAGCTGGAATGCTAACACGGAGGAGGCTGGTGATTTTCAGCCTGTCGGACGCACGAATTGAATCATCTAGTGTCAAAGCGACTGAGGAAGGGCAGGATTGGGTCACAGGCTGATGTATCAGATCAGACTTGCATATTTAGGATTGCTTAAGCTTCAGACCTTATAGGGTTGCCACTTTAATGAATTCTGTGTATAAAGGTTAGGTGTAATAAGCCCCCTCATCTGCCTACACTGTAAAAATTGATTATGTAGAACAAAATAAACAGAAACTGCATTGCTTGTGATTAATTGGCCTTAATATATGTTGGCTCTCATATTATATTCTATTATTATCACTATAAGACTAAGAGCAACTGATTTTTAGTCTCAAACCATAGACTTGGATGTATACTGACACTTTGACCAAATTGTCTACAAATCAGTGTTGCTGTGCTGTGCCAGCAGGAGGGTGTGGATCAGGAAGTACAGAGGGTCGTTCACTAACCAGAAGGTCGGTAGATCGATCCTCGGCTCCACAAGTAAGATTGTTTGGTGAGATACTGAGCTCCAAATTTCTCCTGATGACTGTGACAACAGCGTGTGAATGGTGGGTGATGGGGAAAAAATGCATGTGTCTTGTGAGTGGTGGATAAGACTGGAGAAGAGGTAAAGTGTCCTCACTATCTAAAGGCTGATGTGCATAACAAATGTTCACAGAAGAAAATGCAGTCTTGCCAGTAAACACTCATTATTCTTGGGCATCAAGTAACATGCTATTTGTTGAATTATAAAAAATCCAAGCATCAAGAGAAAATGGTAGAACTTAACCAAACAAAGGGGACGGCTTACAAAAAAACCCCAAAATCCTTGGATGTTTTCTCACCGCGCTGACGTCTGCCAGATGACTTCTCTGCCGTTAAGCGCATTGATGGTGTTTGATGACAGCTTTTCCTCCGTTAGAGGTGTCACAACATTCATTCACTGCGACTCTCTTGATGAATGCCAGCTGTCAGAGAAGCAGCGAGGAGCTGCAGGTGCTTTAAGCATCGACCTTGGAGCAAAAACACTGCTGATGGTGAAAAGTCTGCAGCTGTCCACAGTTCTGAGAGGAAGAACACCTCGTGAATCTGAATTCAAACTGCTAACTTCTCTCACATCCACTGAAGCTGTCTCGTGTAAATAGAAAGGGTTCATGATGGGGGACCCACACAGTTCAAAATCACCTTAAAAATATTCGTATGAGCAAATAACAAAGAAATAAGTGCATCAGATACAGAAGTGTATCTGAACAGGAGTTGGAACAAGTGCAATTAAAATTATCTGTATTCAGTATATTGGTTTGTCTCATGTGAAACATCAGCTGGACACTGGCGATTTTGGTTTAATCTACCTGTTTTGACCTCGACTTGGTCTTTAAACTTTAGTGCTTTAGTTTTTTTTAGAATGGGTTTGTTATTTCTCTGAAAGTGCTAAATGCTCCACTGTGCTGAAGAGTTATAGTCACTAACTGTGTCTGTTTGCTGTGGTGGTGTTGAGAAGGGGGCGTGCATGTGGATTTCTAAAACATATTGCTTGAAAACAGAAGCTGCAGCCGAATGTGACGCGACATGAGCAAAGAGAATGGACCCAAAAATGAACGCTGACAGAAACAAAAAAGATGAAATGCTCATTGGAAGTGCAGAGTAGGATGATAATTCTCTGAGTCTCTGCCACCCTCCCCCCTTTCACGTTCCACACACATGATTTATTGTAATATGATCCACCTGTATTGATAACATAGACTTAAAGCAACTCTCCAGTTGAAGAAAAAAACCTGTCGCCCGCCTACACATCCATCTGTGAAGTTCCATTTTCTACATCACTATGTCTTTTGTTTTGTTCTACAGATTATTTGTTTTACCTTGATTGAGTTTTGTTTGGTTTTGAGTCAATGAGTTCCTCATTACGCCTCAAAGACATAAAATCAAACAGACACACACAAACACACACACACACACACACACACA